GATTTTCCTGACAGTTTCAATGTTCGGTTAAGATAATAAATAGTCGTATATACCGTAATATCCAAACAAATAAATGTACGTTAAGCGGACTGTGTATATGAATTGATACTCTTGTGTAAACAGAAAATTAATGCCTCCATAAAAAATAGTCAAAAACATGATCATTTTAACATGGAACTTACCTTGTTATAATAAACTCCAGACAAGACGTCATACTGCTGCCTTCGCTCCTCAGGCAAACATGTGACGCAGTAGTGGAACAAGACGGTGTGGGGTGGGGCTAATGACCGGGTCCAAATAATAAAGCTCATGATAATTTAACTTTACAACATGGACATGCCCGCAACGGCAGAGCTAACAAGTTTCATCACCACAGAGAGCGACTATGTCATTTTGAAGTCCATCTGACATGAAGTACAACAAACCAAGAGAAGAACAGAAACATCAGGCTACTGGTCACTAATGATGAAACAACACATTCATAACATGTTAACTAATCCGTAGAAATGCTCTGGCTAGTTTCCCATTTGTTGCCAAGTGACTGATGATGACGTTGGTAACGAGCTTTACCCAGAATGCACCTGGAGACAATAAGGACGATTCATTTGTAGTTTTGTGTCATAAAGAGTGAAAATAAAGCCAGTCATGTAGCACAACATTTTATTCAATATTTTACACCCACTATGTCACTACAATCAGTCAGTCTGGTAAGGTTTTTAGCAACCATGAGTCAACAATGGGGCACCCTACTACATAAATTACTGGGATATCATACACAGTTTGTGATAGGAGAGGGCCCTACTTGTATGGTTCTTGTCAGATGTGATTTAAAAAATAACTGGATCATGTTCTGCCTCCCACCTGGGCCCCCTCTAGTCCTGGGTCAGGGTCCTGCTGCACCCCCAGCCTACCTGTAGCTCCTTCCCTGAAGTGATGTCACAAATGTGATACAATTGCAGGAGGAACTGTATGATGTTGATTTCTAAATCAACACCAGATTGAGTTAGAGTTGGTGTTAATTTAGTAATCAACACTGGACAGGATTGCTTTTATTTAACTCTTTGGAATAACACACTCTTTAGGGAAACTTACACTCATGTTGTTGAATTAGACTAAGCAAGTGTTGAATTAACACTGTATTTTAACATACAACACTTACACTGGAAATCTAACACTTTTTAATTTGCTGTGTGTTGACGTAAATGGATCAGTCTTCTTTTCTCCTTCATCAAATCTTACGATAACATTCATAGCTGGATTTTTAGATTCTTTTGGTCTTTCCTTAATACCTTCAATTTCAGTTCCTTCTGTACTTTTCTCACTTGTCTTTTTTTCCTCTTTCTTAGGTCTCTGCTTCACCCTTTCCCACCTTTACCCACTATCCCTTCATTTTGACCATCCATCTCTTCCTCTTCACTATAGTCCACACTATTCCAATCACTTCTTTCTAAATTCATGAATGCCAAATTCTGACTTTTTTTGCATAAATAATGAAAAGTTCTGTCTTCTCGCTACCACAATCATACGTGGCTTCCGGAAATGTCATCAGCTCTTTTTCCAAAACCACCTTGGCGATAGTTTTCATTCAATGTAAGGCCCACCACACAAGTTTGAAGCGTCACATCACGTGACTATGAAACACATAACTAACAAAGAGTAACTGGATAGGCTGACTGTTGGAATCTGGGATCCATGTCCGTGACCTGAAGTAACCTTCCCTTTTTTACACTGAATTTTCACATCCTGAATTTCATACGGCAGTATTGAGCCAGTTGAATCTGAGAAGACTGAAAATATTGCTTTCGAATGTTGAAAACTTGAAATTTTTATATACAAATTTTTAACCCTGAAAAGTTAGACTGAACAACAAAAACAGCTATTAAAATGTGATTATTTTGAAATAATAATGTCAATTTTTTGCTTGAAGTGAAAATGACAAACTTTTAACCATGAACAGGGTTTCCCCCAGTGTATTATAGGCCTGGCGGGCCGCCATGCTTTCTGTGCCCCCCGACAGGCTAAGTGTTGTGTGTTTTTGTTTTTATTGAAAAGCAAAAAAATATTTTTTATTTTTTAATATGCCAGACTGCAAGCATCTCGTCTCATGAAGCTCGGGCAACCAAAATAGTCTCTTTGGTGCTTATTAAAAACTTAAAAGACACGAAATGGACGAGCTATGAAAGCCACATTAATTTAATTTTCCCGTTTGTCTCACTACATCCAACAGCAGAGACCCGCAGTGCAGCGGATTTAACTTATCATGCAGGGTTGGTCCAAGGCTGTATGAGCCCTTGAGCAGAATTTGATTTAGGGGTCCCTGTTGATGTTCAGAACATCAGCACCACTAACAGCGTTTCACCATGGATTTAGTGAAATCTGGGAAAGGGCGCCTTGTTTACTTGACCAAGCAGTCAAATGTAATTGTAGTTTAGATGCATTAATGAACAGCTACAACTCAAATATTAAACTGAGAGCATCAGCTTGTTGCTATGGTAAAACAATCTATGAAGATTGCGTTTTGAACTTTTACAAAGTAAACTTGCCAGCTCCTTAAAATCTTAAATTTAAATCTTAAACAATTTAAAATCTTTTAATTTATCTATGCTGAAACCATTAAATCAAATTTAGCAGCATTGATATTCTCTTAGTTCATTTATGCCTTGAGCCGGTTTTAAATGTATTAAATCGTGGTTTTAGATCCACTACCCGATGACTTAACTTGGATTTAACAGAAGTGCAAATAACTGATATTTATTTTAATTGTATTTTTATTATTTGTTGTTTTTAAAACTATAATTGTGGGTGTAAGTATTGTCTGCAATGTCTTCCAGTAACATAATTACTCAGTAATATTTTACGTTTCTTGTTAACTTAACATCTTTTAATACAAAACCCCGGTGGACCGCCTCAGTGCCCCGACCACCGGGCTTAACAAGTTTTCAGGGAGACACCCTGAATGCAGAGATAATGACAACTTTTTTTTACATTAAAAATATATTCCAAATATATTTTAACACTGAAAAAGTAAGCACTAATATACAACATTAAAATTTCAGGGTCATTTTTAATTTAAATTCTTGTGACACATATTTACTTCCATAGCCTAGAATCTATGTTAGGGAAATTAAAGAGGAGCACAAACGGAACCTCTCTAGCTCAAGTGAACTAGAAGAAAAGCTCAACCAAGACAAGTGTTTCATTTGTGTCAGCAAAATCAATTACATTGGAGACACAACAAATGGACTTTGAAAGCAATCTGTGACATGCCACTGCCAGAAAATGAAGCAGAACTGGAAAAAGTCCTCGGCATGGCGAATTATCTTGCAAAGTTTGTACCAAAACTTGCCAGGCTGAGCATGTTCCTCAGACAACTTCTTTGACATACACAGTTCAAATGGGATGAAACACAAAGAAAAGAATTTAAACAATTGAAAGAGACAATAACAGCTGAACCAGGGCCAGTAGTCTACTTTGTGCCGAGAAAAGAAGTGACACTACAGGTAGATGCATCGAAACATGAATTAGGCGCCTAGATGGTGGTGCTAGGTCCAATCAAGCATTTAGCACAGCTCAATAGACACCATGGTAGAATTCCTCAGACAAAGAATCAAGGCAACATTCCAGGTATGTTTTTGATGAGGGAATAACATCATAGCATGATGTAAAAAGTCGATTTTACTGGATACTGGACCTTTAACACCAAATTGGTGGGCTGCTAGTGGACTGCCCTGTTGCCCTTACCACTGGGCTTAGCAAGTTTATAGGGGAAATCATGGATGAGTATCTTACAATATTTTTAGAAGATGAGGAAGATGTTATGGTGATAGAGATGCTCAATATTCTTTACTGTGATGCAGTTCCCTCAAGTTCTGAGGAATGTAGGGATGATAATGATCTGTACTGCGACGTGTAATATTTAAATATTCTTTACATTTCGTGCATGATACTGGTGATTGCAACTAATCTAACATTTCCAATTATTTTTGGCTGAAGTATATAACTATATGACAGACTGAAAGAGAGCAGGATGTACATCTTCCAGTTCCAGCACAGTTGAGGGTGGTGAGGCAGGAGAGAGCAAGATTCAGTTTAAAATGGTCATTAAAACAACATGCTTTGATAGAATTTAGCCTATTGTTTGCTCAGAGTTAAACTTACAGGCAGTCAGATCGGCTCAGCATTTTTCCGTTTTGAGTATATTCAGAGTTAGCTGTTGACACTGACATAACAGTTAAATAACGTACATATTGTAAGTTAGTGAACAGATATTTACCTTTTAGCTAATTTAACCTTTCATGTTATTTTGCTGCATAAAGAATGTTATTATTTTGGAGTTATATTCACTTTCTGACCATTCATTGAATACTTATGTTAGACTGGGAAAGGAAATCTTTTGGTACATCAGCCCCTCCAATCATTTCCAATCAGCATAGCTACAGAAATAGCTCAGGATAATCTAAGACAGTCTAACTGTATGCTTTATCAAATATGAGAGTTTTAAGCCTAATCTCACGGTGTCTGGCTCATGGACTAAAACTGAGGGCAGGCTAATAACTAAAAGATCTACCCCTTCATTTTACATTTAGAAATGGTAGAAACCACCAAAAACCTACAAAATATAAAATGTCTCCAAGCAAAGCCTGCTTCTCTTGATTTTTTACAGATCTTTTGATTTGTGGGTGGTGTCCAACTTTTGAAATCCACATTTGACTTAACCTTGAACTGCAGCCAGAGCTTTTCAACCTACTTCAAAAATTCAACAGAAATATCCTGCAACTTTAGATGCGCCCTTGCTCCAATCGACTTTCAACTGTGCTATTACTATGTTATATTAATAAATTGATAAAAGCATTAAAATAAACTGCATTTTTTGAGCAGTTTACATTTAGAGCAAATAAATAGGCTATCACGTACCCCAGGCAGGATCTTCAAGTTGTGTAGAGAATTCTGTGCTTCCAAGGCTGATTTACGAGTATAATATGTTACAAAACAACAACCTGCCAAAAAATAAAAAAGTGTTAAAACAAGTCCCAGACAAGTCTTGATGTGTAAGATTGACTGATGAATAAAATGTGAATTTTCTTTTGTATGACAGATTAAACAAAAATTTCAACACATGAATGTGTGCATAATAAAATGTATTTTAGTATTTACTTAAAGATGTTTTCAAAAGGCACTTTTTGTCTATCAAGCAAAACTTAAGAGCCCTTAAATAAATAAATAAATAAATAAATAAATAAATAAATAAATAAATAAATAAATAAGGGTGTACTTGTACTTCTTGAGGAAGCTAAGATCATTTAAGGTTTGCAGCAAGATGCTGCAGAGCTGCTATAAACCTGTTGTTGAGAGTGTCATCTTTTCTGCTGTCATATGTTGAGGAAGCAGAATCAGAGCTGGGATCTAAAAACAACAACTGATAAAGGAGGCTGGTTCAGTTCTGGGGCTGTTGTGGAACCTTCTGGAGATGGTGAGTCAAAGAAGGATTTTACATAAAATCAAGAAAATTATGAACAACCCTGACCATCCTCTTCATGAGACTGTCTTAGAAAAACAGAACGTCTGCAGTTAGAGGCTTCTTCAAATACAGCCATCCCCTCTACAATAACTCTGAAGAATTTGAATTTGTATGAGTTAAAACAACATTTCCCTTTGGGATCAATAAAACTCTTTTGGATTTGAAGTCTCCTGAGGCAGCTGCTCTTATTTATCTAATTTGTCATAATTGATAAGCAGAAGATTTAGCTTTATGGTTATTGTTCTCATATTTCTTTGTTAAAGGCAGTAATGACAATTCTAAGAATTTGGGTTTATGGGTTTTAAAATGTTTCACTTGAATTGACAGTCAACCAACCAGAAGGAAATCCTGTTAAAAGATTCAGTGTGTTTACACAAAACATTGATTTTATGAGTGTGTTGCATGCATGATTGTAAATGGTTGCATGGTGACCTTTGCTCTGTGGTGGGTTTTGGCTCCGGTCTCGTAAGACATTAATCTCGTAGACTGATCCAAAGGGTTCAAACAGCTCACGAAGCTGCTCTTCAGACCATGACCGTGGGATTTGTCCCACAAACATCTTAATAGCATCAATATCTGGTTGATCTGGATGATCCAGAGATCCATTCATCTTCTTCCTGCTTTAGGCACAAATACAATTAGACAGACAAAAAAAGTATATGAAAGCTTGCAACTATAATTGGGAAGTGTGTGTTGAATATATAATTTAGCTAGTAGTTTTTTTCATTGCAACTCAAATTAGCATGATGCTTATTTTAACCATGAGCCTTTATTGTATACCATTTCAAAGGTAAATTTTGTCATCATTCATTATAAAAATAATAGATTTTAATTCATAATTTAATACTCTTTTGCTGTGAAGTTAATTAATGACTTTCTATTGGTATAATGCCCAATGTCGTCAATGCCTTATGTTACAATTCTCTTTCAAAACTTCTCTAGTTAACGCTCACGTTTTGGAGCCAACAGTGATACCTAGTGACTAAGAATGTAACTGCATGTCTGAGCTTGAACTTGAATAACAGTAATTTGACAATAAACCCAGTGCAACTTTTTTAAGTTGGGTAATGTAGATGGAATTATGTTTGTGCTCAAACTTTTCAGAGGAAGTTACTGTGTTTTGTGAATAAATAGATCTGTGTCACTGTAACCCAATACCAAAGAGGATTACAGCCACTGAAAAAACAAATCGTGACTCTAATCTCAGAATTTTAAGCTATTTTTCTCTGTCCTTTTTCTCAAAATTATGACTTAAAAGCAGATGGTTCCTGGGAGGAACCAGCTTTAATGACCAAGACGCAAGTTGTGGAAGGGGACAACTGTCAGGGCCATGGGTGGTTTGAGTTTTTTTGAGGTTTGGTTATTATTTCTGAATTGTTTAGTCTCTTATTGTGATTAGATAAGCCTTGCTTCCATTTTACTTTTGTTCAGTCCTTTCTTAGTGATTGTAGTTTATTATTTTATTTATTCCTTGCATCTATCTGTAACTGTTAGATAAATTTTCTTAGTTCCCCTGTTGTGTACTCTCCCTCTCCCCCTTCTCTCTCTCTCTCTCTCTCTCTCTCTCTTCAGCCTGCCGTCTGCTCTCTCCCCACAGGGCTATTCAACTAAATTGCTCAGGGGCTGTTCATTCATCAAATTATGCATTATGTTAAAAAAAATTGAGAATTATGTTCTAAGTATTGAAATTATCTGTTTCATTTAAAAAATAGATAACTCCCAAAAAGTATTTTTGTAACCCAGTGTAATTAATGAAATGAAGCTCAACTAGGTGCAGCTGGAAAAGACTGTGTGCTTTTCCAGCTGCTCCCCTCAGGCAGGAGGCTGAGGAGCATCCAGAGGAAGACCACCAGGCTGAGAAATGGTTTCTTCCCTTCAGCCGTCAGACTGGTGAACTCAAGCTGCAAAAGTTTTGCAAGGGAACACAAAAGAAAAAAAAATTCCCATGTGCCCTGGAGGTCTCCGTACACCTCCATTTCCTGGAGGCGTTTCTTTATAGTGTTTAAATCTGTCGGCTCTTCCACGAGCTCCTTCGACAGGTCCTCAAAGAAAGATAATTGGCAGCCTTCCCACTTCAACCCAAGCTTTTCTTTGGCCATCTGCAGCAACTTGTCCTGAGCTGATGAGCGCAAAAACCGTATCAGGATGGTTCGGGGTGGTTGACATCTGGCTTGGGTGCCAGTGAGCGATGGGCCCGCTCCACTTCGAACTCACTGCCCGCGAGGCCAAACTCTTGAGCAATGGTCCTCTCCACATACTGATGCACATTTCCTCTTTTGTCTTTGTCTTCTTTCAGTCCCACCATTCTCACGTTGTTCCTCTGACTCCGGTTCTCCAAGTCCTCGACTCGTTCCCAAAGAGTCACCAGTTTCTTGTCACATATCTCCACACATTTCTCCATCTGAACACTTGCATCTTCAATATCAGACACTCGCTATTCAACTTCGCACAAAGTTATTAGAATATGTTTTTAGGGAGTCTTAAAACTCTTTAGTTGTTTATTTGATTGAGACGACATCTGCTGCCACAACTTGTAGCGTTCGTTGCACTCATTTTCCATATTTCTTCCATGAAGTTGGAGTCGGTATGTTTCTCTTCAGTGGAGCTTAAGTCCGTCAACGGGTTAGCATTAGTGCTTTCAGGGGTGGGGCTGGTCTTCGCTGCTAGCTTGCTCCTTGTTGCTGGATCTTTGAAAAAGTTAGCTTTGCTGTTACTTGACATTTCATCAATAAATTATTAATATCTGTCCTCTTCGAAAGATTTTTTGGATTTACCGTGTCAGATGTATTTATATCCGGGTAAACTGAGAGGTATACATTTCAAATAAATGTGAGAAAAAACTGTTGGTTTCTGTAGCTCTCCGAGTGTGCTGCCATCCTCTTCGGGGTCTCACGTGACTCTCACAACTGAGATGTTAATACAGTGAGGAAAATAAGTATTTTAACACCCTACAACTTTGCAAGTTCTCCCACTTAGAAATCATGGAGGGGTTTAAAATTTTCATCTTAGGTGCATGCCCACTATGACAGACATACACTAAAAAAAATCTACAAATGAGCTTTTAATAAATTGTGTGTTACTGCTGCAAATAAGTATTTGAACACCTGTGAAAATCAATGTTAACATTGGGTACAGCAGCCTTTGTTTGCAGTTACAGAGGCTAATCGTTTCCTGCAGTTTTTCACCAGGTTTGCACTGCAGCAGGAATTCTGGCCCATTCCTCCACACAGATCTTCTGTAGATCCGTTATGTTCTGTGTTTTCTGTGTAGTTATTTTTGAGGTTTTCTGTTTTTAGTCCTATTCCTGTCCTGTCTTCCCTGTTGATTGCTTCCCAGGTGTGTCTAGTTACCCGATTACCCTCCCTGTGTATTTAAGCCCACCTGTTGTCTTTGTCTCTTGTCGGGTCCTCGTCTTATGTCAGTTGTTGTCTTTCATCTATACTCTCCGGTAGAACTGCGAAGTCCTGGATAGCGTTAGCTCTCGTTTTATTGAGGATTAGAAAGGTGGCTATACTCTTAAATATCTAAGTAAAAGAAATAACGCACAGAGACGTAGTTCTTGCTGCTAGGCCATAGACGAGCCGGAGATTTATTACACCACCACGGATACCTCGTTACAGTTTCTTCAGTTCAGTACAAAATCTTCATCGTCATCGTCTTGTCACAAAAAATCTCTCCGAAGTCTACCATCAACCTATTTTATACTTTCTCATCTTCATCAGTGTGTGTTTGAAAGTTTCAACCAATGGCGTGCTACTGTTGTTTTGCAGAAAGATTCTGGCACGCTTTATACTGAGTGTGTATTGGGCGACCTTTAAAATATTTTGGACCTCACGAACTCAACATCTGCTCCATTTCAGAATTGCTGAATAGGGCAATTTATCTCAAATTGTTGATTTTATCTTGCACAAACAGACATCCTTTCCAGTAAATTCTGGCTCCATTTGCGCTTTGCACGCAAATGGAAGGAAAGAATTCGGTCAGGTTGACCTAGTGCGAAGCCAAAGTCTTCGCCGAGGTGCCAATGTCTTTTTCCGCCAAACAACTCCTTAGATAGTATTTCCGCTCTTACAGTTTTCAGTCCTGTGTATCAGTTGCTACCAGGAATTAGCTGTGTGCTATACTCTCTGCTGTGCCGTCTGTGCTGGACAGTTTTGAGCTTTCACCATTAAATTCATCATTTTCTTCACAACCTGGGTTCCTGCGTTCAACCTCACCACCTCTCACTCACCAATTCATGACAAGATCAGCCAGGTTTCTGGGCTGTTGCTGAGAAACACGGAGTTGGAGCTCCTCCAAAGATTTTCTGTGGGGTTTAGGTCTGGAGACGGACTAGGCCACTCCAGAACCTTGATATGCTTCTTATGGAGCCACTCCTTGGTAATCCTGGCTGTGTGCTTCAGGTCATTGTCATGTTGGAAGATCTAGCCACGACCCATCTTCAAGGCTCTAAATGAGGGAAAGAGGTTGTTCCCCAAAATCTTGCAATAAATGGTCCTGATCATCCACTCCTTAATACAGTGCAGTCGATCTGTCCCATGTGCAGAAAAACACCCCCAAAGCATGATGCTTCCACCCCCATACTTCACTGTAGGGTTGGTGTTTTTGGAACACCTCCACCTTTGTCCTCCAAACACAAGTGGAATTACAATCAAAAAGTTCTATTTTGGTCTCATCTGACCACATAACTTTATGCCATGACTCCTCTAGATCATCCAAATAGTCTTAGGCAAACATAAGACACGTCTGGATGTGTGCCTCTTATTTCTCTTAGTCATGTGGATTGCTGCCAACAACAGTCAGGCAATTAGATCATTCGCACACCTGCTATAAACTTATTGCATCTCTAACAGTGCTGTTTACATTATACTCTATATGCATGTATAACATAGGCATGTTTATCGGCCTGCTTATTTCAATTTTGAGGGATTGGAGATTGGCCGAATCTGTGAAGCCAATCTTATCCTCAGATCTTATTTACCTTATTTACATCAAAGGTTTAAAAATCAGCTGCTGTCCTCTTCTGTTCTACAGTAAGAGATTTGACGGACAGACCAGCTCACCAGGTCATGTCTGTACGTTTGCTGTTAACAGTAGTCTGTTGCCAACTCAGCAACTCTCTTACTATATTTAGTAACATTTCAGATTTAAAAAAATGGTATTGGTCACTGCCAGTAGGCAGGCCAGACTTTTTGAAAGATCTGTAATCGGGGAACAGCCAGAAAACTGCAATCGGTGCAGCCCTATTTAAGAAGGAATACATACACACATATTCATGACATACTTTTATTAATTCCTTTTAGGCATAATTACAATAACTAAAATTTTAATTTATATACACAACATAATTTTTTCTCAAATGAGAATGTGACCAGTACTGGGCTGATTCTGTGCTTTCACATGATAACTGGAAAAGTTTCACATGACTTATAAGCTGTTGTAAAAATGTTTTAATCACATAAATTATCATTTTGCTACATAATGTCAAACATTGAAAAGTTTTAATTATTGTTAAACGTTTTCAAACATGCCACGAGAATCAACTCATTTAAAGTTAAGACTCCGTTTCACACAAATACGAACATCATGGCATAAACGTTTGGTTCTTGAACTGGACTAT